GGAAGGTGTCTTGCCTGCTAGGCTAAAAGGTGTGCTAGGTTGCTGCCCCGAATAGCTGGGGGATATATTTTACAAGGTTCTTTATATAGGTTCCTCCTAACAGTGTGTTTTCAGGAACACATTATCACTTATATACGAATGATGTAACTGAGGCTGAGAAAACTTAACCTTCCAACGTCACAAAGCCAGTGTCTTCTCTGCCCTGTTCTACTTCCCAGCTTTCCATTCACACCACAACAGGCCTTGCCATGTGTATCTTAACTGCCCACTTTATCCTACAGCATATACTATTTATGTCAGGGAAAAAAAATAAAACAGCCCCCAGTTAAATTCCGTGACAATCAAGTGGCTGGTAGAAGCTGGACATAATGGTTAGAAAATAACCTTAAAGTCTTGATATTAATCCAACCTCTTCTCTTCACCGGGTGTTCAACATTATCAAGTTGTGTGGGCATAAAGTGTCCTTACTTTCAATATGTCAGATGACAGAAGAAGGCTTTGCCAGATGCCACCATTTTGATATTAGACATCTCAACATGTAGATCTGTGAGCCACTGTATTAATTACTTTCCTCTTGTAGTGACAAAACACCTGAGGAAATCAGCTGGCGGAAGGAAGGGCTTGTTTTGGTTCATGGCTTGAGTGGACAGTCCATCATGATGGGAGGGCATTGAGGAGCAATGATGGGAAGCTGGCTATATTGTCTGTAGTCAGTAAACAGAGGGGCACCAATGCTGCTGCTCATCTGACTTTCTTCTTTTCTTCATTTTTATTCAGTCTGGGACCTGACCAATGGGGACAGTGTCACTCACGTGCCAGGTAGGCCATCCTTCCTCAGTTAGACCTCTTTGGAAACACACTCATAGACACACCCAGAAGTGTGTCTCCTAGGTGATTGTAAATCTAGTCAATTTGACAACAAACCACCACAGCCACTGATTCTGTTCGCTATATACCAGCATACCCTGTTTAAAGCAACACTCAACGAACTAAATATCCAAGAAGAAAACTCGGCCAGTATTCAGTACCTCTTTTTTTGTATTGTGCAGATCTCCATTCTACAGCTATGGCTACACAGGCCATGTTATCGAGTTGAGGATTTTCTCACAACTTACCTTTATCCTCTTCTCATTTTAGTTTCCACCAAAGTTTCAAGATGTAATGGCTGGTGTTAGTGTTCTGTGCCAGTCTTACTTGTGCATGTATATCTGTGTGTTTAGTTTTTAAATACAGACATCCCTGGCTTTTGATTTGAGACAGTGTGTTCAGAAAACAAACAAACTATACTTCAAATTTTGACATTTGATAATTTTTTCAGATTAGTGATGCATAGTATTATTTTTTAAAATGATGCTGGGCACTGGTGGTGAGCCATGGTTCTCACTGCCATGGAGGTGATTTTCTACAGTGGATTGTATTACTAGGGTGTTCAGTAAGGTAAAAGAGACGCACTTTCAAGTTACAATATTTTCAACCTACAGTCTTTGCCAGGACATGACCAAATCATCAGCAGAGAAGCACTTATATTTTGATATAAAGAACAAAGTTTAATTGGAAGTATGACATTCCTAACAATGCCCTCTGTTATATCAATAGTAAATACTTAATATTCACCATGCTGATAAGGGCCAGACATCCCTGGAAAGATCAGCTTGGAGAGAACAAATCCAGACTTTAAGGTAACAGAAGGTCTCCCTGGACCTATTCCCCTAGCTTTTATCAGTTAGGAGGCACATTCTTGGAAATAATGTATTTTTTTTTCTTCAGAATATTTCCTCTCCTAATCTCAGATTCAGAGTTAAATGATGTAGCCTACATGTGAACTCAAACTCAGTGGTTCTTTGAGATTAGGAAAAAGACAAGCATGTCTTCAATTGCTCATAAAAGTTGCCCTTGGGGTGTTTGGAAGAAGCCCTGCTTTTCTGCTTGGCTTACAAGATGCCAGTGGAGACTGCATTTGAGAGGGATTGTTGTTTTAAGTGTACCAGAGAGGAGATGCAGTGAAAGGAAAAAGGAGATCCATTACTCTTGCTTTAAGGAAACACTGTGGGAGGTTGTCAGACTCTTGTGAGTTTCATCATTTGAACAATGTTCTAGAAAATGTCAGAGCCACTCCCAGCTTGTAGGCTTCAAATGCTAGGTCCTGACTTCACTGTTCTTTGCCAGGAGTGTGGCTGTACTGGTTGGGTTTTGCCAACTTGACACAAACATAGTAGGGAACAGGGCATCTTAATTGTGAAGATGCCTCCATAGGCCGGTCTCTAGAGCATTTTCTTGATTAATGATTGATATGGGAGGGCCCAGTCCACTATGAGTAGTAATGCCCCTCACCAGGTGATTCTAGGGTATATAAAGAAGCAAACTGAACAATACTTGAGGAGCGAGCCAGTAAATAGCCTCAGCTCCTGCCTCCTGGTTCCTACCTTAATTTCCTGCCCTGACTTCTCTTGGAAGAGTAAGCCAAATAAACTCAATTCTCCCTAAGTTGGTTTTGGTCTGTGTTTTATCGTAGCAATAGAAAGCAAAGTAGGACTGTGGTCCAGTTGCTTCCCTGTAGGTCTTCTTTCCCTCTTTCTCTCACCCACAGACCCTCAAATTACCATGCACAATGTCTTTGTCAGTCTTTGGTTTTAAAGGGAAACCAACTTTATCACTTTGCATTTATATAATTGATTTAATGAAATAGGGGCTCCCGTTATTCTTTAGGAAGCATGTGACTGTTTTAATACACATCTACACGCACTATTGGTTACTAAGGTGTTTATAAGAATGCCCATATACATTTAGTTATTCAGTCTTGGATAAATTCTGTCTTATTGAATGTGCTTGTGACCTGCAAAGCATATCTGTAGAATAAAAATACTTAGGCATTTATATATTATAAACCTTGAAACAAGCCAATTTACACACGTGCAATATAAAGAGGTGTAGGAGAGACATAAATTAGTACATAAAGTTTTTATTTAAACTTTTCCCCTTCCAAGCAAGCTTCATTTACATTCTAGTACTGTACAAAATTTACATTTTTTGTGACGTTTTATTCACTTTTCACCTTCTAGAATTTTGTATTTCTCTGAAATACAGAAAGCTTTACTTAGAGTTCTCATAAATGCTTTTATTTAATTTGGCTAGTGATAAAAAATAAAGTGAAGAACAAATCTAAGGATAGCTGAAACCCTTGTATAAACAGCGACCTTCAGAAGAAGCGGTGATGGCTGAGAATACGGTTTCTGAAACAGCACGTGATCTTCAGGACACCAGTGGGCATTTCCCACATTCTTACTGTCTTTCTTTATATATCTGTATGTTTTCAAGGGGAAAAAATGAAAGCTGATTGCACTGGCTATGTATATATATATATTCATATATATATTTTTTACAACGGATCCTTTGGATCTGAACATACAAATAAATACAAAAACAACAAAGATTGCACTTTCCTGTAGAAACATTATTGGATTCTGGTATGCCCAGCCATCTTGAGGGGCTTGTGAAAGATCACCTTGAAGGCATTTGTTCTCCTCTGTGGCTTCCTTTCCTTGGCATTTTGAATATCACATTTGTGGAAGGGTTCAACACTTCTTTGTAATTAAAAAAATATTTAGGCACTTGTAAGTGCCAATTGTTGGTCAAACTCAGATGAGTTTGAAAGCCAAATTCGTGTTCCTGTTTGTTTTGCTTTTCTGATTGGCCACAAAGAGAACATGTCATGCTCTCCTGATCTTTTTGAGTCCCTAAAGACAGGTGTCAATCATCATTTAACC